TTTACTGGCTACAGGTTGAGATTTCTGAAGAGATCTGGATCTAATGCCATACAAGCCGGGACGGGATGAATTATCTTTTATTGGAAAGTGAAAGCGCTCACACTGGCTGAGATTCCTAAAGACAGTTTGATGTCATCTTGTTAACTTTTACTCCTCAAAGCCTGTCTCGGAGTGCAATGAGGGCACGGCGTCCAATGTCTTTAAAAAGAACCTTCCTGGCTTTTATGTAACGGTGCCCTGCTTCCTTTCAGCGAATTCACTGTGTTTAGCGTGCCATAACCTACAGAATCATGAACAACGCATAGGAGATAAAAGAAAGTCTGAGCAGTTACACTCTGGTTACTAGCTAGCACGATCCGTCACTTGCTAGTTAGCTTGCTCGCTAGCTAGTCAACTCACTACCTCAAGAGGGTCCAACTGCGGATGTCACGCACCTCAGCATGTTGTCATAAACAATTTTAACTGATTAATATTACGCATTTGTATTGAACATCCTGTACGTGCAGCTTTGAAAGCTACGACAACGTGACTAATATTGGAGCCAGGACCCTTTTCAAAAATGTTTCTCCTGTACAAAAACAGTCAGTATGAGAAGAATAAACATGAGCTTTTGATTTTGAAGCTATGAAAATTCTGTTAGTGCTGGTAATGTTTGGGAACTCTGAAGTGCAGCTGACCTGTGTTTTAAATCACAAATGATTTTGTAAGTCTACGAGAATCGACTCTCTTCAGAGGCTTTTTTTTCACCCTCAGGAGACAAACATGAGGACAAACCTGCTGTGGTTCACCTCAGTGGAGGTTTGCTGGTCAAAGACGTACATGGACTGACGTGAAACTGTGTTTTTTTTCTTCTCTTAAACAGAACAACAGACATCATGTGAGTTCGTGTAGAAATATAAACCTGACAGCAGCAGCAGGAGAGTCCTGGACTTGATCACATGCTGGTTGATCTTCTCTAAGTTACAGGACTATACAAACACAATCCGACACTTCTACTGATCACTGCACTGATCACTGCACTGATCATTCACCGCGGCTGCATCCTGGAACCCACAGAGTGATGAGGAGAAAAAAAAACTGCTACACTTCTGATTAGGGCTGGACAATAAAACAATAACAATAATAATAATAATTAGTATTATTATCGCGATTAAATTTTTTTCAATAACAATATAACTAATGTTAATAAATCTTGTTTAAATGTTTGATTTATTCACTTGAATCATAAACAAATTAGGTAAGCTTTTATCTAATTTTACCTATGCATATTTGTCGACAAGGATTTTATGGCCTCAAGTGTTGACCAGAAAGAAGAGTTTAAACCACAATTAATCATCAGGTTTCTTCAACCTTCACTCAGGAGCAAAAATCAGCCTTGAAACTCGAAAGAAATAATGATTTGATACTTCATCATAATTATCAATATCAAAAGATATGAAACTTCGTCCAGCCCTACTTCTGATGATCTCTATTTCATCGGGTGGCTGCAGTGTGAAACAATACTTCTTCTATCGCTTTGTGTTTGTCTTGTGAGTGAACAGAGCTGTCAGCTCTCACAGTCTGAGCCAAACACTGAGCTGCTGCTGTTGTGAAATCACTTTGAGCCTCTCTGTAGCTCCAGGCTGCTCTCACAGTCTGCTGAAGAAACAATAAATCAACTTTCCACTGCTTCTTATCACAAACATGTAGCAGTAAAAGACACCTGCAGGGTGCTGTCATCGACGTAGATTACTTTTTCTTTGGTTATTTTCCCAATTGTCAATAAAATATTGTCCACACAATGTCAAATAAATTGCAAAGTGATGTCCAAACAAAACTCCAAGTATACCCAAATATATTAAGTTTTCTGCAATGTAAAATAATAAAAACTGAGAAGCTAGAACCAGAAAATAAGAAACAACATAAATGATAATAAACAGAGATGTTGTCAGTATATTTTCTGTCAATCATTATTATGGTTAATAGCTTCAGCATTGTTATTGTCAGTAATATATCTGAAATCTGGAATTAACTTTGTTTTTTATCTTTTACGTTTAAGAGAATCATATCAGCTACTGAGCTTGCAGGTCAACATATCCATCCCCATGACAATGGAGAAAAGTCCATCTGGTCGAAAGCTCTGAAAAAAGCTAGTGCGTGACCTTGAGTTGGAACTGTAATCTAAATCAATAAAGTGTGCTAACTCAGGCGAGTCTGAGCTATGAAACAGGTTGATACCCATTTGTCTGTTTACGTCTTATAGAAGTTATGTTATGCTCATTTTCAGGTTCATAATATTTAGAAGTTGTACCAGAACAGGTTTCCATGGTTTAATTTTCTAAAAACACCACATTTTTGTCATACTGCACGTTGCTGCAGCACTTGTTTTCACCCTGTGAAGGCTCCGTTTTAGCTACCAAGGGAAGCATCTCACTTCTATTCAATCTTTGTTGGTAATTGTACATTCTCAGTATCTAGGTAAGGACTACTAGCCAATCAGAAGCAGAGTAGGGTGGGTCCTGACAAGCAAGGAAGTGTGGTCCAAAACAAAGCTGTTTCAGCCTGTAACTGTGGCTTCAGTTCAGCGGAACATGATCCCGAAACAAGGCAGAACAATCCAAACCAGCTTCGCACACTAGACTGGAGCAAGACGTTTCAGAGTGGTAAGTTATTCAGTTGTAAATTGTTGCAAAATTACCTTTCACAGTAACTAAGTTTTAACTGTGCACTGTGTCTACATCACAGTTACCTGCCTGGAGGGTATGTAACATTGTTTTGGTTTGAGGGCACGCCACACTAGCCACTAGGCCAGCATTATGATGAGAGGTGCAAAGTGACGCAGATAGGTTACAGAGGCAAAGGCTGGACTACAACCAAGCTGTTTTCACTTTGCAACCCTATTACATGAACAAAAAAAAGATATATCAAAAAATAAAAGAAAGGGAAAAAGCACTGATTAACTTGCTGACAATCCTACTGCAAAAGATCATTCAACATTCTCTACAAAACACAGCATGATGCAGCTCACCCCAAATTTACTTAAGAAGTACAAGAAAGAAAATATGTTTTTAAATGACATGCATATGAATTGTCCTAAAGGGCTTCATAAGATAATGAAACGAGAGAGAGACTGAGGGAGGAGGATTTCCCCTGGAGAAGTTTATGTTTAAAGGTTTTAAAGTGCTGTCAGCCGTCAGTCCGTCCGTGTAAACTGAGCTGACTGAGCTCTGAGCATGAAAATAACCCAAACATGATCCCCAACACCTCACAGGAGGTCGAGAGGTCAGCAACACACACATCCTGCTCTCTGATTGGCTGGTAGAGTAGCTATCTGTTGTCCGTGTCTCTCACATGAAATACTCAGATCATAGCTCATAGGTCGGGTCAACAGTCAAGCTGCCGTTCTAAATCAGTAGTCAGTACAGCCACTTCAACTATAGGTAACCATAGGAACACCACCAGTTAACCATAGATAACTGACAAACCTGAGCAGGGTTAAACTGACAACAAACACACTATAAAACATGGAGGAGGAATTAAACACCTTCCTGGTGGCTGCAATTTCACTTTTACTGCAGACTGACTCTGCTGCCTCATGTTTGACACTCTACAAACTATCATTTTAAATATAAACTGTCGTGTTTTTAATAAGACTAAAGAGGAAATGTGACTGATATTTGAAGAAGATAAAGCTAGAGATGTACATCAGCGTGCTTTGAGTTGATACTATAATGTAATCTGTAAAAAATATAATAGTGACGTGACTTCATTGAATAAATAATTAACAAATGAAATTAAAAGTACGAGTGAAGATTCCAAAACACAATCACAAACGTTGTCTTGTTCCTCTGGTATTCATGTATTACTTATTTCCTCACTTACAGCAGGTCTGTGTTGACACTAACTTCACTTTTTTACTTAACTGCTTAGTCGTTTGTAGTTGCTGCTGTCAGGATTTATTGTTATGAAGATGACTGTTATTATTATTATTACTGCTATGATACCTGTTTGATAATGTATATATAAGTTCAATCCAGCACTTTACAGCGCAGAACTTAACCGGATCTTCTTGACATGAACTTCTCATCTACTTTCTGTTTTAACAGCAATTAATCTGCTGATTATTTTCTCTTAATCATCAATGAAGCCCGTCACAGATTTCATTGAGCCCACAGTGACGCCATCTAATGTCTTGTTCTGTCTGCTCAACTGTCCAAAGCCCCCAAACATATAAAATACTATAATGTAAGACAAGAAAAGGCAGAAAATTCTCACAAATCTGTCACATATTTGGCATTTTGGCAAGCAAAAGTGTGTGTTCTATAAATATTATACTTTGTGATTCATAAGTGTATTTGGAGCTCCTATAATAGTATAATGTAATATATATTTTTTAATCAGTATTGTCAACGTATTCTTGCTGCGAGTCTCCCCATTGAGTTTAAACCAGCAGCTGCATTATATTTTAATCTATCAGCTCTTTGTCATGAGTAGTGCTGATCTAATGAGTTTTGCATTCATAATATTCATTTGGTATTTTTGTGACACTTGTAGTATAGTCCCTTTAATCGTACTATTATCTTATAGGCCTACTTACAGTAATATTCCTATAATATCCTTATAGTAGCTCACAGTGCAACTTATGACAGCTGTATTGTATTTCATTTTTAGATTGTGTCCAATGGTGAGTTTATCCTATAACATCCTTAACATCACTAGAATAAACTTTCCACATTGCAGATTTCTCTAAATCTGATGTGGTATTACAGGTTTTTCTGATTTGAAACCATCTGTGTGATGCTTTTAGAGATGACATCGCGATTTGTTTAATCTGTGTCCTGTTACTGGATCAGTCCTGCTGCAGATAACAAAGATCTCAGATGTCACATTTAGGCCTCAGTCTGCAGCACGCGCACTGATCTCAGCTCTGTTGTCATGCAGTCAAAGTTTCCGAACCCTCCGCCCGGCTTTACTTTTCTGTTTCACTCCGTAATAACACATCTGAACTGTCAGCTGTTTACCTGTCCGCGGTTTCCCTCCGGATCCAACAGCCAGCGAACAGCAGCGAGCTTCTCCCCGGTTTGATCCGCTTTTCTCGGAGTCCAGTCCGGCAGGTCGGGAGTTAGCTGAGACAGACGGAGGAGCTCACAGGATCATGGTGGAGAAAACTAACGGTGACTTAATCTCCGTGATGGTTTACTGTCTGCCTTACTTCTCTTCTTTTGGATATCTTCTGCTTGTAGTTTTCCTTAAACAGCGTGTGTTGGAAGAAGAAGATCTGCACACTCCAAAGAGAGGGGAACAGGGAAAAAAGTTGCTGTGTATTTACATCACATCCCGTTTCCGAAGAGGAGGAGGAGGAAGAGGAGGAGGTGGTGGTGGAGGAGGAGGAAGAGAAAGGCAACATGAGCCCCCTGAGTGTCTGACATCTGAGAACTTTAAGGAAATCCGCAGTAGAGCCCTACGAAGGGGACTACAGAGGGCAGACTGGACATTTTCTTTAGTTTCCATCAGTTTACTGTAATGTTTAACTTTTATACTAACTCTTACTATAAGGACCAGCGGTGGGAAGTAACTATATTTCCTTAAATACTGTCCTTAAGTAAATATTTTGAAGTAGGTCTATAGCTTCACTTGAGTATTTCCATTTTATGCTACTCTGTAAAACAACAATATACAATATAAACTACTCTATACATCCACTCAACTACTTGACAGCTGTAGTTAGTTTGCACATATTTATACAAAATATAATCAACAAATAAATCCTGATATATTAGCCTACATAAAGTTACCCAGCAGTAGGCCTATATAAAGTAATTAACATTAGCTCCTCCTATAGCAATATTCAATTATTAATTATAATTATTAATTATAGCCTAATTCAATAATTCAATAATATATTATTCTGGACCATTCTGCATAATGAGTAGGCTACTTTAAGTATACTTTGATGCTTATTCTTTCGGGTTCTGGTACTCAAATACAATTTTGAATGCAACAATCCCTTAAAAATACACTTGTACCCCTGAAAACAAACCAGAGATCCCTCCATGTATCAATTAATTTGAGAAGTTAAACCCCTTAAACTCACTATAATTTCAAAAGCCCCATCAATGAGATCACATGATAAAACTAGACATATTATATTACATTGGTTGTATGACTTTCCCCTTGATTTACTTAATATTCATTATTTGTTTTCATTAATTATCAATTGAATGTGTTATTAAGGTTGGGATTCTAGTTTATGTTAGAGATCTGAAATTTGGGATAAATAAATTATACAATTAATGGATTGTTTTACATTAAGGCTTTTAAAATTGGTTTTCTGTATCAATTACAGAGTTTTAATGGGTAAAACCTCTTAATTTGTGACCCTAAACTTAATTTTTTAATTAAGTTTGGTCAGTTTAAAATGCCTTAATTTATTATAATCCATTCTCAGTCCCCTTACAATCCTCCTCAATACCTTAATTACACCAAATATAAAGATGATTACATTTTAAAATGTTAATGATCCTCAGGGGGGGGAATTAATTGTATAACAGAACAAAAAACTGCACAGAGATGAACAGCACAGATGATCTGACTAGTAACTAAAGCTGTCAGACAAATGTAGTGGAGTAGAAGTATACAATGGAAATACTCAAGTAAAGTACAAGTACCTCAAAATTGGACGAAAGTAGTTACATTCCACCACTGCTCTACATGGTCACTGACACGCAGCCCTAAACCCTGTTTAGAGAGAGTGTGTGTGCCTGTGTCAGACAGCAGGGGGCAGCAGAGCTTCACAGTGAAATGTTTAAAAGCTGTAGAGATTTGTCTTCTTCCTCCTTCACCACAGAGATTCCGGTCAAGTACCCTTGTCAAAAATCCTAACCGTTCATGCAGAACAACGAGTTCAACATTTCAAAAGTTTGCTGACTGGGGCGTCACTTTTGTGTTGTAAAGTGGTGGGGACATAAGAGCTCAGATTAGGGGTGTGATGACACATTTGCTCCGGCTTCCTCCTACCATCCGAAGACATGCAGACTAGGTTAATTGGTGTCTCTGAAATTGTCCTTAGGTGTGCATGTGAGTGGTTCTTCATAGTGGTCTATGTGTGGCCCTGTGATGGACTGGCGACCTGTCCAGGGTGTACCCCGCCTTTCGCCCGATGTCAGCTGGGATTGGCGACCCTGTACAGCAGGATAAGCAGTTGACGATGGATGGATGGAGAATATAATGCAGTAATCAGCAGCTTGTTGTTTTTGCTTAAGTTGCTTTTTCGGACAATGCACATTTGTTTCTTCTATATTTCAATTGCATTGCAAGTTTTCTTATTGTGCATTGTTTTGTTTGTTATTGTAACATTTCTCGTTGCAAGCAGAACATAGACATGTCCCCAGCGTCCCCAGTGTAAATGACACCTATCTGTCAATATTTTTAAATATCCCGCCCCTTCCAGGCTGCGATTGGTCGGTAAAGTGACATTGACAAGTTACTTTGGCCCTGCACACCTGCAGTCATGCAAGTAGTTGTCTTCCCAAAGCTCCTGTTATTTTTCTGACGACAGATTAAATCATCCAGCAGAGAGAGCTGTTTCTGTTTTTTCTCTCCATTCGTGTCCTTCAAACCAGAGTTTCATCATTCCCCACCTGACATCACTTCCTCCCTAAGTTCCTCTAATACATCCAGTGTTGACAGGATCCCACTCACTGTGTTTGCATGTGTGTGTGTGTTTTTTGATGACGCAAGAGCCTGTACTGTGTATGCCTCAACAAAAATGGAAATTGAAGGGAATCCACCACACACATACTACAACAACACGTCATAAAATGAGTGTAGTAGCTGGAAAATAGCAGTCAGTCAATAGTCAACAACAAAAACTACACACTGTGTCATATATTTACGTTTTACATTTACATTTACATTTATTCATTTAGCTAAAGTTTTTATCCAAAGCGACTTACAATTGCTATACATGTCAGAGGTCACAGCTAGGGGTTAAATGTCTTGTTCAGGGACACACTGGTGTCTCACAGTGGATTCGAACCCGGGTCTCTCACACCAAAGGCATGTGTCTTAATCATGTGTCTCATATTCATGACATTAAATTTATTTAACTGACACTTTTATCAAAACCAACTTACGATAAGAGCATTCAGCCATGTGGATACCAGAATCGTCCAGGAACATCAACTTCATCAGACTGACGCAGATTGGGAGCTCTTTCTACCATTGTGGTATGCAACCGTATGTAAATAAAGTGTACCATCATACATTACAGCGCACATAAAAGCGCTTTAAATGGTCGTAAGACTAGAAAGAAATACAGAGCATTTACATTTACAGCATACCATTTGTCATTAGTTTTGCAGGTATGTTGTCATAAACCAAAGAACTGAATAACTAGGATCACTCAAATGTACGACAAGTCATCCTGAGGAGAACATTAATGTCAGATAGTTCATACAAAACCACAAAGGTCAACCTCATGGTGGCGGTGGAGGAAAAGTCAGAGGATCACCAAACCCCTATTGGTGACTTCACGGACACAACGTCCATGTTTTATCCAGAAAAGCTCAGAAATTCATTTTTACATTTTTAATTTACATGTGAACTGAATATGGAGAGCATTATTCAAATTTCTTATATTAAAAATGGTTCGGTTATGTTGAAGGGATCTCTCACAGCAATGAACCAAGAATTATCACCAACTCTGCAGCACTATGGAGCTTTTTAGCCTTTTTTGTTTCTTGTTCTGGTTTTGCGGTATTTGTGCCATTTCCTATCTGTCTCCGTCTCAGTGTTTCTACACTTAGGTGTTTGACACTGATGGTTTATTACAGCTTTGGTTCTCACAGAATTGACCTTGAATGTAAAAAAAATTACAGCCTGCAATCAAATCTTCAAGCTGCTTCTCCTTTTGGACCCTCAATTCCAGCTGAACATGGATTTGTGTTTGTTGGGGGACGTTTAGTTGTTGGCAAATTTTTTAAAGATAAAAGAAAGATAACAAAGGTTGTCTATAGAGGAACAAAAAACCAGCCACAGCAGGATTGTGTAAAAAATACGCAAGATGTACATGACAGCATGAATATAGCCTGTAAAATATTTGCATCACTATTTTGTGATATGTAATATATGTGGCCTGATTTTTAAGTCCAAAACCGATTTCAGTATTTGAGCATTTTAAAATCCCCCCCTTATTTTAAAAAACGCACAACATAAACAAAGATTATCCCTAACATTTGTTATGTTGAGACCTCACCAAGATACCATGACATGATGCAGTTTAAAGTTTTGATAAATAAGAGTCTACTACAAACTACAGAAACATTTCTAAAATATCTGATTAGTTATAAATTACAGTACTACTACTAATGAACATTAAATTAAATAGTGTATGTATTGTGGGGGCCAGTGAAACAGAAACTATAAAATACCAATATAGTACTACTACTAAAAATAATAATAATACCATATATCTACTCTCATGTCATGTCATACATCGGCAAATACTTAAAAATAAATTTATTTGTTTATGTCATGCAGTAGCTATTACCTTGCATATCTATGTAAGGTTATAATGTATGTATACGTTATATATAAATGTGATAAAGGTAATGTATAAAGATAATCTATGTATACATATCTAGGCTCTATGATACAGTGACGCAGAGGAAACGCTGCCCTTAAATTAATCTAATACTACATGACTGTCTACAACGAGGACCTGCAACTGTGTGTTAGATACTTGTCCCCTCTGGTTTAATCATTTCTGACACGCCGACTGTAACTAGAGACACTACAGTTTAATCACTCTTTAATGTTAGCCTCCTCCACTGATAAACACGGCATTAGCTTTGTGGCTAATTTAGCAACAGGCAGCGTTATCTGCAGTTGGCGATGTTGGAAAGTATTTAGAAGTAATAAATTAGAGAGAAATGAGTAACATTAAACACACGCTGAGCCTGGAGAGGGCAGTGAAAAACGGGAGGGTTAGCGAGTCTGGTCTCCAAAGAGGAAAGTGATGAGGGCTATTTTTATTATTATTAAAGTCATGTAACTGACATGACAAAAGACCAACTCACTGGGAACAGTGAGTGTTAGAGCTGCCAGGAGTTACTCTCCGTAGCTCCAGCAGAGCCTGCTCTGGGCTCCGGTAGACTGCAGTCAGCTGTCTGTGGCGCTGCAGTGTTTTGAACAGAGGAGCTGCAGCGCGCCATAGCACTATGACCAATTGCCTTATAGTGGCATGGACTCTACTAGATCTCTGAAGGTGTGCTGGGGTATCTGGCTCCAAGATGTTAGCAGCAGGTCCTTTAAGTCCAGTTAAGTTGCGAGGTGGGGA